TAGTATCTTATTAAGAAAGTACAAACAAAACCTCAATTCTTTACAATCTCAAGTAGATAACTCCCCAATTTCAGCCGAAATAACTATCATGGTTTGCCTGATTCTTAAGAATGTCTATCATGGTTTGCCTGATTCTCACTGTTATTACAAGAAAAAGTGCCTTTACGTGAGCCTGTTGGGTAGAACCTTTGTGAGTATTATTTTTTTAATATTATTTATATTTTATAAATTTAAATTTTTTTTAAAAGAATTTACATTTTTTTAATTTTTTTAACCTTAAAATGATTTTAAAGTATAAAAGATCAAAAGCTTTAAATTTAAATTTTTTACAAACTTTTTTTTACTCACTTTTTCATACCTCTAAAAATAAATTTTAAATTCTTTTAATAAAAAATTAAATTTATCACTCGTACATAATAAAAAAAAAAACAAAAACTCCAACAAATTCCAACAAACAAAATCTCTTTTCTTGCGTTTCAAGAAACGCCAGTCCAGTATTTTATTTTTGTCTTCACCGGCTTTAGTAAAGTGGCATTTTGGGAAACACGGGTAAATTCCTGCGTTTCCCAAGCAAAACGCGGGGAATTAAAGAACTAATCTTTTCTTTTCTTTTCTTTTTTTAAGAAAAAAAGGAAGCAAGGCAATGAAGTAAAAAGGAATTTACGTTGTGTTCCACAATGCATTTTCCTCAAACATTAATTTTCATCCTCTTTTCTTCCAAGAATTTCTTCACGACCACGTTGCCGACTCTGATTCCGATTATCCTCATTTTCGATTTCATTCCGATTATCTTACAGCTTAATTTCTTCGAATGTTTGATTGAAGGTTCTCCTCATTTTCTTTCCAATTGAAGGTTTAATTTCTGTTGTCATATCCTATTGAAAGTTTAGGGTTTTTGATTGCATGTCCCATTGACTGCAATTTTTTTGATTGGGGGGCATTCAGTCCAGATCCGGTGTTAGCTACTCGAGAACAAGTCTCTGGTGATTTTTGCTCGACTCCGGTGATCGCTTAGACATTTTCTGGCAACCTCTGCAACTCTAATCTCCCTCTCTCTTTCGGTAATCATTCTGGGAACTTAGAATTGCATCTCTTAGGTCGCTTACCAATTTTGCAGTGAACTCAAATTTATTTTCAATTGTTTTTTCTTTCGATTTTTTCTATTGAATCTAAATTGAAGTGTTTAGGAGATTGTGTGGCTGGGTGGAGCAAATCGAAGTTATCTTTGTTGGGCTATCCCTTTCTTATGTTTGTGGAGAAACGAGGCCGTATGTATTATCTGTTTGATCTATGTTCAAAACTATTATTGATTATTATCCTAATTAATTTTGTCTGCTTCTTATGTAGTGTGCTTCCAGTTGCTTTAAATCTTGACTTCAGCATCCAGTATCTTGCTTTACATAATAAAAGGTTACAGAGCATTTGAAGGGAGGTATACTTTTGTTTCTTTAACGTTTGTTAAAGTCTTCTTTTGCACCTAGATTTACCAGAACTCCTAAACTCAAGAAGGTTGTCAGACATGAATATTAGTGAATGTTAATTTTGCATGTAATGTCATTTTTTTATAATCAATTTCTGTAAAATCTTACCTCAACATGTTTCATGTTTTGTAATCCTATTTCAAGGAGCTGTGAAAGTGATGGCAAAAGACGTTATTAGAACAGGACATCAGATTGATAAATTTTATAAGTTTAAATCACAACTCCAGGGTGTGTCAATATTCAAGTCTATATCCCCACCACCCAAAGTGTCAATGTTCTGGTATATAAAATCACAACTCCAGGGTGTGTCAATATTCAGGTATACATACCCACCACCCAAAGGGTCAATATTCTAGTACATATCCCCACCACCCAAAGAAATCATTTTTCTTTCAATTTTTTCTTCAAAATTTAAAATTCTCTCCTTGCTAGTGAATGAATAGTTTTATTATTATTATTATTATTATTATTATTGTAACGATATTGAGGGACTATTACAAAAAGTTTGACATGGGCTGGCAAATTAATGGATTGGGAAACTTTTCTTTTTTTGGGTGTTAATATATCTTGTATTTTTGAGTCTCTATAATTGAATACTTAAAGGGTTAATGCAAAATTAAAAGGCATCACCAATATGGAATTTCCTAGGATTAATACAAAGTTATAGTCTTGAATGCTTTGTGTCCTAGATTATTCCATGTGTTAAATATGGAATTTCCTTGCTAGTCTTTTTTAAATTATTTTCAAATTTGGAGTTTAGTTTCTACAATTAAATATGTTTGTGGATGACTTTAGTTTTTCTACTATTGAAGATGAAGGTGCTCAACAATGAGATGACTTTAGTTTTTTTTTTGGAAGAACCCGAATAAAGAAGAATAAGTTGAAAAGTTCGGTTCAAAAGGGAACCCTGGGAAAGAAGAACTTTAAATGTTTTTAGGGGGGAAAAGGCAAAAATAATAAATTATCAAATAGAGAATAAGGGGTACCCAAGCCCTTACAAATAAAGTTACACCCAATATGTCATTCCAAGTTCATTTCTCATCAACAAGGTTTACTGGT